AGTTTTGTCGGAATTTCTTTACCTGTGGTTGTAATGGTCGAGGGTTTTCCAGCGTCCTGTAATACCCAAGGTAGTACAAGATACTGGAGATGTGCGCACACATTCCCATCGTTCTCTCTCCAACTGGGCACTGGCAGTAGTAGTCCTTTATTGGGGCCTCAACATCGGGTGAAACGGTGAACCGTATCCAAACGTTATATTTCGTTTGGCTTTTGTGTCGAGAATGTATTTGACATCGGAGAAGGTCTGGGGAGTGCTGGTAAAGCCACACCTCATAGTCTCCGTCATCACTTAAATGTTCGGCGATGTAACCAGGAGCCAGAGATATCTGATACGTTCCACACGTAATGGTTCTCAAGTAATCAAGATCGAGACGGGGAAACAGTACGGAAGATGCATCCATCTTGACAAACTCGGACCTTGCCCGTCTAGATAGATCCGGATCTGTCTTGACTCTCTGAGCTAAACCATTCGGTGTTGTCAAACGGTCCTTCATACGTTCAGCCATTAGCCTATCTTTGGCATCTCTCTCTGGAGATCTCTGGTAGATCGGTCCTCTAATACCATTCAGACAGGCTGTGACGGTTCGAAGCAAAGCCTCGATGACATTGATAAAGCTGTTAGACACCAATTGCGTTCGGAAGAACGTCCAGTGTTTCAGACGACCATGATAGGATTCCACAATCCACCTCGATTTGGTGATAGTTCTGTCAAGATTTGCTTGGACGTCAGAATGTTGACTTTGACCGGGTTTAACTGATCGATTCATGCTAGCATTGAGGCCAGAGGCTTCGAGAACTGGTAGGACATCTCTAAAACCTCGGTCAACGACAACGTTGTCGTCTGGTTGTAGCCAAGTAACTAGCTTGTCCATGACTTTTTTTTGTAATTGTAGCATCATTTTCGCTGCCAGTGAATGGTCCTACTGTGTCCAGAATGTAGCCATCTGGTAAGGCGATGCTCATGAATTTGAGATAGTTTCTCTTCTTCTGGCCACAGTAGGACATTCTCTGGAGCTTGTGGTCGGAGCTTTTCTGGATATAAATATAGGTGCCATCTAATATGGCAGTGGCTTTATCTCCAAAAAATGCTTCTGAAAAGACAGTATTGTGCCCGAGCAACTGTTCTCTTGTCAAGTGATCCGGACCTAGAAATTGTGGGACTATCGATGTGTCTAATGCCTGTACTATGGAGTGGAAAGTTTTGGACACACTTGACTTGGAAATTCCAAAAAGAGAAGAACACTGACTCCAGGAAATGTCGGTTTTCAGTTTTACCCAGAACAGTAATAGAGCATCGTGTGTAGTCTTGGTATATATACCAGATGAAAGATATGGGGAACAGTGCGAGTGGATTTCGAGGAACTGATCTTTGGACCAACCTGTCCAGGCCATGCATGCCGAGTCATCAAGAGAAGAAAAGCTTATTGTAAACGCAGACTGGTTCTGTGAAAGGACGTGCGACACCTCTAGGAGGTCATTAATGATTTCGGACGATTTTGATGGTAACTGAGATTCCAAGGAACCTCTACCATCAAGGACAACCTCTGTAGACGGATCTAAGTCGTTACCAATAAGGTGAATGGAGCAGACGCGGGATGAGGTGGGACACCACAGTTTGTGTGAATAGATCAGGTGATGTCTTGCACGTTTTGGTAAGACTGATGATTTTGTTCCATTTCTTGCAAAGGTAACAAGACAGAGACAGCATTTTTTGTGTGAAGATGATCCATTCAAAAGATCATGAAGGGTCAGCAACGGCAGGATATGGGACGGGGAGTCGTCTTCTTCCTCTATTTCCTGGTTCTGCTCGGGTTCAGGTTCAGGCTGATTTTTGTTCCGAAGATACTTCATGTAGCACTTCTGGCAAATAAGTGCTTGTTCCTTTGCTGACATCAATCCTTGTTGCACCAGCGTATCTAGGAGCCATTTATATTGTGGACTATTTACATTGCGTGCACTTCTGTTCTTATTGCCACTACGTTTCTTGAAGTATACTTGACACCCTTCTCCAACACATTTACCCTCCATCTTGAAACAATAACGATTGGTTTATGAAGCGTCGATAAAGTAACAAAATAGCAAGCCACCGATGATTGCTGTAAACAGCTAATACTTAGTAGTTTGGTACAATTATGCGAAAATGTGTGATAAATAACGAACAACTAATTACACAAAATAACAAGACAATATAATAAATCACATTCAATACCTCCAAGAAGCGCAGAATTGATTGATTACTTAGAACAAAATAAAGTATTTCATATGGATAATCTATCTATTCGATGTGGCGTGGTCGGCAGGCACAAAGAAAGTGAGACAAGTCAGGGTCCCAACCCTGACAGAGCCACAACGCTTTGGAGATGGGACAATAAAACAAGGAAAGTGAGACAAGAATAGCTAGCGTCGAGTCAATGATTCCGTAAACGTATAGACAAAGACAAGAAGATACGGATAAATGTACAAGGCCACACGATCAGAAAATTCAGAAGAGGACAACTTGAGATAGAACAGTATTCATGTATCAGGGTGTCCTCAGTGTAAATCTTTATATCGATACTGTTTATTTAGTCGTTACACATCATAAAACTGTCATGAAAATATCCGCTCTGATATTCAATACAAAAGTTGGTATATAATAAGCTATATAATAGGGTTTCAGACAAGGTTGTTACTCATTTCCCCTTTTCTTTCAATTTACAACCACATTCAGGCGGCGATATGAGAACGTTCCACCACATGGAATTAGCTGATTTTTGGTACACATATGAAACAAGTGAAGCTCTATCCGATTTTCTGATGGAAATTTGCATCCAAAACTATATAACGGGAGAAAATTGCAATTTTATGGCTTTTTTCTTCATAATTGTGTCTCTGCAAGTGCATTTTCATCCGAGAAATATTTTTTTTATGTTTTATGAATAAACACGATGTTTTGGAAATATTTATCAAAAGAAATTTATACTATGTTGCGAATTACAATTTCGAGATAACCTTCTTTTATTTACGAACGAATTTATTTAGTCTTTGATGCTAAAATTGACAACTTTATAAAAATACATTTTCACTGAAATTATGAAATCTGGGTGTCGGAAAGGTGTAAAATTATTCTTCGGAAAAGAAAAAAACAGTAGTTGAGCTAGATAAGAAATTATACGGGGGCAGGCTCCTATGGAGAATTAACATTACTGGAAACAGGCCCTTTGGATAAAATCCCTCCAATGGTATCGAAGAAGAAGGATTTTAAAGGTTTAAATATCAAATTCCCCTATTGGGAACAGTCCCTCAGCACGCAGAGTATGTACATGTGCCAGTTATGGCTAAAAGGATTAATGAAATAATCTAGGAAAAGTGCATGGTACACTTGTATGCTGGTATAGAGAAGTGACACAATTTATGCTTTTACAAAGACGACGTTACAACTAAGGAATAGAGTAAAATAGTTCGATAGTGAGGTAACAATTATTGTCATACCGTAGATAATGCCATGATATAAAGCTTATTAACAGGAATGTTTGCCGTCATTAATTGCAAGTCCTGAAGTGTAAATAAGATTGAAGTTTTCTTCTTTGTCAAAGCTCGATATTAGAGCATCTCCAGCACACACGCAGGCATACACACATAGGGAGATATTAGCCAGGTGGCATAGGACTGGTAGTTAGCGCCTGATAAGGCAGCTCCTGCGAATTCCTCAAAATTGTATTGATTAACCTATATGCTAATTGTATTAATTGTATATCTATGTACTGTAAAGCGCTTTAGAGTGGCTTATGTTGGCTAGATAGGGCGCTACATCAAATGTTGTATATCATAGTAAAGACCATAAACCGACAATTTCGTACCTCTTCCGCTTGTGTACGTAGGTACAGAATGAATCGCCTTAACAAGGATAGGCCAGCGTTGTCTGTGCCTTGACATGTACAGTAAACACACAAGTGAACAACTATATATAATACATTTGTCGTTAATTGATATGTTTTGCTAAAATTGTAGCCTAAATTCGCACTGGAGGTATCGCAAAACCGTTTTTATTCCGACTCTCTTTTCCTTGATACAGTATTTATGAAAAGTTTATTATTTGATCTGTTTCGTTCAAGGTTTTAAATTATAACTTCTCTGATAAAAAGAAATCAATTAAAATTATTGTTTTTTCTCCATTGTTCTCCAGTCAGGAAGTTTAAGCGAAATAAACGTGGTCACATCCTGAACAATAAAGCGATAATATGTAACTATTGTTAAGACTATGTCGCATACCAATTCTAAAATAAGAAGAAAATAACAACTGAAAATACAAAGATGAAGTGACGTAAGATATCAATTGTACACTTGTATTATATCATTAAGGCATTTTATAGAGACTGAAACTAATTATTACAAACTGCTGTATATTTAAATTCAGTCAAACAACTTTACCTCGAACTCACGTGATTGATCGGCGTTAACTCGAAAACTTTGTTATAACTATTAAGTGTCGTTTAATTTATCAATCCATAGCTTTAATTATAGCTCAAGACATTTAAGTAACGTGATCAACAATCTACGTGAGAAGACGAAATCGCCCTAACTTTTAAACTCATATTGATTGTCATGTATTTTTTACGTATTTTTTTTACATACAATGTCATTGTAAAACAACACTGAAACAATGCATGTATGCATCGTAAGGGAATGTACAATGTTAGTGATTCCGATGCTTAGGTCAATAAACTTATCCTAATGTGTAATTTTCATATGGAGCGCAAAAATAATCATCATATGGTATGCATAGTCGATCGACCCATACAAAAGTCACTCTACAACACACATTAAATCCAATGGTAAATTTTTGGTCTTAAAGTACAAAATGTTTGTGTTTATGAGATCATTCAATTCAGGTAAAGGTGAACACAATACAAAAGTGATTCCAATGCTTAGGCCAATACAATTAGCCTAACAATATGAGAGTTTGTGATGCGTTGGGTCAGAATGCTATGAATGATTGAATAGGATAACACATTTGTATTTTGTAGTTATTTTCACTTCAATTTATTTGCTTCGTACAGTCAGTTTTGAGAAACAAAGAATGTTGATGATGATGATATTTAATATGCAATTATCTGTGGTTGTTTTTTCATCTCATGAGCATTACATGTTGGAACAAAATTTTCCAAATTATAAAATATCACTGGCTAGGACAATATATTACATTGTATAGCATTATCTCACTCACTGAAGATAAGAAAACTCAGGGAACTAAATAATCTAATTATAATCTGCAAATATTCATCAATTCACAACTACAACGCACTCGCCATGTCCTTCTCCTTTAGCAACATGGTGAGCTGCAAAACAATTAGGTGAAACAATGAAAACGAGCTTATTATTATCACAGTCTGCTTTTTTATTTCGATGTTGATGACGAGTTGGCTTCCCTCGGAAAATACTTCAAATGGGTATTTTATTGTACACGACGTACGTATGGAACACATGAAAATTAACCGCCTTTCCATGGCTCTACTGTGAACACACTTATGTTTTAAAATAAACTTGTTCGGAACCGAGGATGCCTTTTCCCCCGTCAGTCCACTCTGATTTCCTCTTCCTCTTCTTCAAGAACCTCAATACTAAAATCGTCTGAGTATTGTAGAAACTGTGGACACTGGAAATGAAAAGAAAGTAAGCATATAATTAAATTGGCGGTATATGTCGGCTGCCATATTGACATAGCTATCGATTGGATGGTATTTCTCTTCTTTTTTTCAGATTTCGAAATATCACATCATTTGTGCATAACGTTCTAAATGACATCTCTTCAACTGCTCATTAAATTTTAGCAATGGTTTTAAAACGTGCCGTTGTTTAGGCAACCACATTATCCGACTCCAGAAACTATCAGCCTTACCGGTATTTTCAGTAGCCATTGCCATCCCATTCCGATTAAACAGTACCACGTCTGCAATAGAAAACACAAATAGAAGCAATAATATACTATTAATGACTTTTACGAGGTGAATACGATTATTTATCTATCCGAGAAAGATGATTTTTTTTTACATTTCCTAAAGTATCACATGGAAATTAGGCTGCAATGAAATAGAAAACTGACAAGAATGACACGAGGAACCGAAAAGATAAAAATAACACAGCATCCCTCACAAAAACTGTAAGCGAGTCATGATTTTCTTCAAATCTTTCAACATAAACTATTCTTTGAAAGGATTTTATTTATGATAAAAGAAAAATGATGATGAGACATATTCCTGCATTGAAGAACGTGATTATGGCCGTATATGTGATACATTATCGGATCCTACGGAGGAAGACAGTCATGCCGGGTAGGATTTAAACAGATCACAGAATAGAAGTATGACCACCATGATAGCTAATTTGACGAGGGCTCGTATTTATGAAATCGTTTTTAACCCCAAACTCAGATTTTGTGCTCAAGTTCATTTTCTTGTTCTGCTGATATATTAATCACACGTAACATTTTTTCGGGATGCTGACTTATCAGGCTGGCTGTAAATAGTACACGTAAGGTGAGGTTGGCCGCTTTGAGGAAGTTTTCCTAGTATTGAAAGATGTGGACTTACCAGGTAGGCTGTAAATAGTACATAGAACGTGAGGATGAGCGCTATGAAGAGGTACATAGCCCAATGATGGGGCAAGACCGGAATATATACAGCCACGAAATATAAGTTGATAACTATCACAACGACGGATAATACACTGGTGAGAATCTTTGTAAATCTGAAAGAGAACAGAACAATTAAGAATTACATGTCTAACCATTAATATCATCTAAACGATAATTTTCAAAAACAAAATACGTTTCAATGTGACAAAGTCTCCTTATTCACAAACCTATACATTAACAGAATTAATAAACATGTAAAATATTGTTCCTGAATGGTAATTGAGATTGAGTTGATGTATTAAATAGAACATGCACACCGGTATCACTTCCAAAAAAAAACAATTCTAAATTTAATTTAGAGTGATTTGAGGAGACAGGTTTGAGACATTAATTTTTTGAGTCATTAATAAGCATTTAACTTCATGATGTAAAATCGTCTACTCTTTCGATATCATTTTAGATGCTTCCTCAGTCTAAACTGTCAAATGTTTGTTCAACGTCAAAACAATTTGACGTCACTGGGATTTAGCTATGTTATACAGTCCTATGACACACCAAGAATAGCCATTGCACTAAAAGTATGGTACAACGATTATATAATTTGAAATAGCAGTGCCCGTGATAATGGTTTTTAGTTGTTGTTTTACGTAAATACCAGTTCCTCTCAGCACTGTCTACGCAAGATATTATTGCAAAAATAAGCACATACATATACATATAATATATCATATTGCTCCGAAAATTTGACAACATCATATTGTGTACACTGTAAGAAAAACTTCCTTGCTCCTTATAGTTAAATTTATGTATATATTAAACAAAATGTCTTACAATCCATTTTTAAAATCGCCCATGAGTTTTTCGGAGTTGGTGAAGGTGAGAATAGGGATGAGGGCGAACGGCAGCTGTAGGCTCATAAGGACATTGAGGAGGTCATTCATGTCTGTCAGGTCACCTATTCCTTTATAGATTGCGATAAATACTGTCGGTAGGATGGCGATTGACCGAGTAAAGAGGACTCTTTGCCATCTTTTCCATTTTAAGTTGAGGAAACCCTGATGGTTGAAAAGAAATATTAAAAAAAGGCGAAATTGTCAATGCACTGTACATTTATGTACATAAATTTACAAAAATGATATGACATTTGTCATTATACTGTAAAAAATGATAGATAACGATAATTCTTATTATTCGATACACTACAAATATGATAAAATATAATTTATAATTAAGATAATGATTTGTCAATATGCTGTAAATCCCGAAATTAATAACAATGATGATGATTCGTCGATATACTGTAATGTTCTCGTTAAATACAATTCATATCAATGAAAAGAAATTGTCGACTCAATGAAAATTTCGTTAGTATCATTTGTGACAACGACAATATTTCTTCGATACACTTCACATCCCATAATTATCGAGAAAAGTTATTTTCGCGATATTACTTGAGACAGTCGACGGAATCAGGAGAATTACAATTTGCAAAAGAAGCATTAACATATTAACACCTTCCTTATATTTTGCTGAACACAAAATTTCTCCAGGTACATTGATTGATGGTCGATTATTTTCCATAGCCAGTATGATATATCATTACGACTTCATAGTGTGGAATATCGCAAAATTCAATACCCGCAAATATTCTTATTTTAAACTATATACAATTTTAGACATGCGACTGACTATACAGCAATTTCAGTTTCACGACGAATAAGTCGGGACATACAGAAAGTTTTTTTTAATTATAATTGATTTAAAATATTTCGAATGAGGATTTATATACATTAGTTGTGAAATTGCTAATGATATTATTAAGAGATGGATATTGTAGAGAAATAATCATAAACATTTAAAGCGTTTTATGTGTTACTCCTTAGTTTCCTGTCCCTTTTGTTTAAAACTATATATTCATTGTTTATCAACATTTTTCATCATTCTGAACATGCATCAAGAACAAAAATAATCCAATATCTATCTAGAATCTATATCTCTCAATTTTTATCGATCATAGAAAAAAAACACCTGTAAATCTTAGGACACTAATTAATCTGGGCGACTGTATTGACTGTTTAGATAAAAAGTTAGATAAAATAAGTTATTCAGTTGATATGCTTACCTCCATTGCGAACTGTCCTGAATATGTCCCCGTCATGGTAGAACTCTGACCTGCTGCCAGAATACCAACCGCCCAGATATACATGGCAGCTATGCCGTACTTACAACCAAGATATATTCCCTGTGAACATGTAATGTAATACAAAATGATGCACGGTTACATACCCTGCCACCACATCAGCTTCAATGTCATTTTATTTGTTTGTGAAAATTATATTCAACTGATTCATTTTGGCCATTGTTCACTTACCAAAGCTTACGGCTCATTCCACAATTTTTTTCTGCAGAAGGGTTTGGACCGTAACCTTTGATAAGCAATAGGCCAATAGGAATTTTACAAAGATGTCGACTTAAGTAAATATTATTTATTTGAGTGCCATATATCACAATTGCATCGATACATTTAAACAAAATATAGTTACATGGCATAAAAACACGAAGTCGACACAAGACACCAGTATTCAGGGATTGACATTCAAATATTGCTCGAATATTATTTCCAGAGAAAAAAAGTATTATCATTAAAGAACATTTCTTCAACTGCCAATTATGTGAGAATAAAACCTACGGACATCATTGTGAGAAATAAGACAGTGATTTAAAGCATCACCATCACACGGCCAAACCTGATACAGAATAAAAAAGTCAAAAGGTTTTTGCTTACGTCGAAAAGATGTCGTTTGCATGGTTACTAGGTGATAAGGGATTATTTAATCTACTGTATATTGATGACATAACGTGCTTTAAGTTTGCTTTCGTCTTAAATAATATAAAACATTAGATTTTAACCTACCGGTAATTATCATTAAACAACTAAATTGTCCCTTATTCCTGAGGAATCATGCACACGTCATCTTTTCGACATTAGCAACAAATACCTGTTGACATTTTTTTTCTGTATAAAGTTTGGCCATAGAATTAATGTTTCTGTTGATACTAAATAGAAATAATACTAAATATGTAGAACATTGTCTATGCAATATATAAACCGTTTATACTCACCCCTCTATATATGTCAACATCGGCAACCACGTGAGAGTTCTGTCGGATAAAGAAATATGTCATCGTCCATTGTAATGGAAATCATTTAGTCACTTTCACAATTCCCCTTAAAACGCTTGACGTCATTCATTTCTTGTCTTAACACACAGGTTATGCTAATGAACAAAGCGTGTTGGGATAAAAATGTTGCTTTAATCCATTCTGTACAATGACTAAAATAATTTCCTATACAGAAAATATCAAGCAAATCACCTTCAAAAGATATACAATTCCTTGAAAATATTATCATGATTTTTAGCAGTGTTTCATTGTTGAGAGAAAAAAAAGAGTTCTGATATTTTCACGTTTTAAGTTATATACTTTTCTTTAATCAGGGACAGTGATTTGAAGTTCAAAATAGCTGCTTGAATGATACCAAGTTTGTACATAGAGTCTACCCGAAGTAAAATTATCGTTTCAGTTGCAAATGTAACTCTAGCTATTGCATAGTGTGAACGTCCTATAACCACGCAAAGAAATTGTATTTCCAGAGTACAGCACCTTACTTTACTTCCCGTTTTTTGTAAACTTTGTTTTCCAATTTGTTTAGGTTTTGTTGTCACCTGGATTTCCTTTATTGCCTTGTCCTATCATCTTTTGTTCTTGCGTGTTGACGCTCTGGCATTTTGATTACCTTACAACCCATCGCAATGAGAGTGGTATAGAATATGCAAATAAGTGAAAATACCGGCAGAGAGTAAGAACTCAACTTTGATATTGATTTTTGAAAATGACCGATGGTTCCTGTGATATCACTTACATTAAATAAGTCTGCGTACGGGCTGCTAGCGTTCGTGCAAATGTGATACTGTAAACAGAAACACATACAATTTATAAATAGACAAACTTTGTCAAATAAACCAAAAGCTTTCAAGGCATAGCAGCTTTTTATGAATTATTTGTATTGGTTCCCCTACGAGGAGAATCAACAATCTGAACATATAGTTTCAATATAAGGAATGATTTCGGCAGCATTTCTAGTCCATCACCTAACGCAGATACAAGGAACGACAAATAAAACAAATGAATAATATAAATACAATAAACAAACATATACTACCGATTTATTTTTTTATAAGATAATTCCAATTATATATTATTTTTTATTTATTCATTTATTTATTTATTGTAAAAACATTACTTGCCGTGATACAATCACTTAATTGGTATTGCTTTTTAGTGACGTAATAATTATTAAATGATCGACATTTTAACTATAGTTATGTGACATTATTATAAATATAATTTTTGTATAAATTATACTGACGATTTCCTGTGACGATCTGCCGTAGAATCCCTCAGCAAATATAGCGGTGACGAAGACATTGATAAGGAAGGATACGAACAATGCAATCGCGGCCTCGATAAAGAAGTACAAGTTGGCCTCGCTTACGGCTGCCTTCTGCTTGCGATTTACGTCCCTCGACTGTGGAAATTTACCAATATTAACAGAAGCAAATTATTCTGCAGATGAAAAATGTATGAAGTATTTCACTTGAACATTCGCGATAATTCGTGAAAAGCTCAAATTAAAATACTAGTGCCAGAAGAATATTTATAAAGATACGTTTTTAATTCAATAGACACACAGTTGTTACTAACTGTACCAAAAGCATATTTTGATACTTACTATACTGTTATTTAAAACAGATCTACCTGAGCAGTTATTTGCAAATATCAACGTGTATTACCTTAATTTATCACAAGTAATGTACAAAGTGTCGATTCTAAATCTGTTGTAAATATCTCCAAATGTTACCGAAAATAGGTTTCTGTATACTAATGGAATCGCAATGGTTATTTGGCAGTTACATTTTCCTTTATAAAGGTCTTCGTTGTTTTCTCAGATAAATAACTGCATATAGATTAACATAATATAACAATATGTTAGATATTACAGCGAAATGGAAAATGAACTTTTTTTTTGCGAAAGGCCTGCATAGTTTACATAAATAATATCGTTTAATAAGCAAAACATAATTAATCATAGAGGCAAAAAAACTTCTGGCTCCGGTTTCACAAACGTTCCTTCAAGAAATTATTCCTGAACTTAAGTTTTTTTTTTCAAAATTCAATCAATAATTTTGCAATGGAAAATCTTGACAAAAATTCTTCCAAGTTAAAGAACGTTTGTAAGACTGGGGCCTGATGAAGGTTATAGCATCTAAATCAAATATATTTCACCCTCTTCATTCTTCTGCATTTTAGGATTTGAAAGAAACACGAATTTCTTGAACTCAATCAAATATATGCAGGGATTTACTGTTTCTTCACAAAATATAACATTTCCAATGCACCGTGTGTCCTACCTTGACAAGGGCGGAGTGGAGGTATATGTTATGGGGCATGATAATAGCCCCGACTATTCCGATACCCTGTAGAAGTTCGTCAGACCCGCAGTTCTCACAGTAAGGGAAGAACATCCCCTTCATGACCTGTGGCTGGTTTGGGTGAACAACGACATACTGAAAACAAAAGTTTCTTTTAGAATTCACTGAAAACTGGTAAAGTCAGCTCAAATATTATCTGCCGTGTTAATGGTTTTATATTCATTAAAGCTAATTAGTTTTGGAGAAGGTAAACTTTGATTTTAATTGAAACACGTTTTGATTCATTGAACTTTTCCTATTTATGGGTGGATTAGTTGAGTGGTTAACACTCTGGCCTTCTATGCAGGCGGCCGGGGTTCGATCCCCGAAGTCATCGTATGCATAGATATTCAGAGAAAGTGTTTTTCTCCTGCCCACACAACTCCAACAACCCAGGTGGAGCGTAAATTGGTCTGGGTGGATGTTGCGGTATTCAAGTGAGGTGGCAATATAAATAATGCCGTTGGAAGCACGGTCCCACTACAAACAGAACACATTACATCTGCCCACACGCAGGCATACACACATAGGGAGATATTAGTCAGGTGGCATAGGACTAGTAGTTAGCGCCTGATAAGGCAGCTCTTGCGAATTCCTCAAAATTGTACTGATGAATGTATATGCTAATTGTATTAATTGTATATCTATGTACTGTAAAGAGCTTTTGAGTTGCTTATGTTAGCTAGATAGGACGCTATATCAAATGCTATATATTACTATGAATGCAGATAAAACAATAGAGATATCGTTCCATGCATGGCCAGTGGACGACCACTGGGCATGTAGTTTATGGTCAGCTGTCTACAGCGACCACATTGTGATCGATGATCAGGGTTCAAATGCCGGTCTGGCGCATATGCGTTTTCTTTCTTGTTAATTTCATCATTTCTGTAAAAACCACAAAGTATGGTTTTCTTTTTATAAATATCATAAAGCTGTTGCAGGTTGAAATAAACCACTAATAATTCATAGTCATTTCATCACATTATCTTGTACCGTATTCGAACTTAAGATGTTCTTTCATAATTATCCATTGATACTCTAATAAAACTTGCTTCCGGTATGTAAACGATGTGCAGAACAGTTCCATGAAATCACTGTCCCCGTTACCAGTCAATCCGTTGCCGCGTATAATTGTTCTAGGATGAAACAACAAAACTGCAACCTTCAACCACAGTCGATAATTGTAAACTGTCATTTGCAATGATATAATCTTGATGAACTCTTACCTCGTAGCCGAAACTGATGGACATAACAGTGATGAGGAAGCAAAAGAACGCTTCAAGTTTCCTCAGCCCGTAACGGTCCAGTAGGAGGAAGGTGAAGGTATCGATGATGGTAATGAGGACCCCACCGTATAGAGGTATTCTAAGATAAAACATAAAATAAAAACGATAATAGCATCATGTCAAAAAGGCAACATTAAAAACACGTAACAGTGCAGTAGGAGGAAGGTGAAGGAATCGACCATGGCAATGAGGACCCCACCGTATAGAGGTATTCTAACATAAAACATAAAATTAAAACGATAATAGCATCATGTCAAAAAGGCAACATTAAAAACACCGACGAGAAAATACCGTAGTGTTACCAAAACTATAACTCAACTTCAATTCAAAATCTATGAAACAAGGGCAAAATATGAACAATTGACATGGAGTCCAGTGAATAGTCCCCGAGAGAATAGGAATGCGAGTTCTTGACGGGTAAGTTTTCTGCTACATTGACGACATCCGCCACGTCAATGTCACGTTCCCCAAGTAAAAACAAAGGTATTAAAACCACAAGGCACAATTCTTAGCAAAATCAAACCGTTGTTATTAATACCACACGAGACAAAACATATTTTCCATTGAAATCATGATGGCAACCATGTAAGGGTATAATAAATGGCTATCCTACCATTGAATGTATTAACATTGCAGTTTGCGACTTCACAGTAAATGAAATATATTTTTCATAATGAATTCCGGGTATTCATGGTAGTGCATGTATGTTCCTTGTACGTATTACTTATACAACGTATCTATATTTGAGCAATAAATTGCCTTGATCTAACGCAAGTAATTGAAATACGGAGGGTAAAATTGAATACCAATAAAAGTATTGTGTACTGTTTTGATAAATAAGACAGCCCTATGCCATTAGTACCCAACCTTACTATTACGACGCCATTTATCAGGCAAGGATATTTGAAAAGAAATACCAAATTTTCCAATTTATTGCAATAAGTATTTTTTTAAACATAAAAAAAGCGGAATAAAAAAAATATTTCGTGATCGAGAATACAATTGGCATATATATACCAACAAAAAATAGATATTGAGCTAGCATCAATAAGAAACGATGAACATACTTTCCATTTGACAGAATGCTGATGGCTATAGCTGTTCCTATGACTTCCTGTATATCAGATCCTGTATACAAACAAAACAACAATATATTAATTTATACAATCTTTTATAGTCAATTTACGAATATATGATATTTTCTAGAGAATGACGTATTAGATATTAAACTTGTTAATTTCATCTCATGATAAAACCTTAAAAGCTACTGTGGAAATTAAACTATAGTAAAACCTCGATATAACACCGCTCATTCAATCTGCCACGTCACTTACCGCCAACATATTTCAGGGTCCTTTTTTCTCTTTTTGTTTGTTTGTTAAGAATTCTTTTATTCATTTATCGCAAAAATGTCTCTGGACAAATGGTGGCAGTGTAACGAGGGTTTATCATATACACTGTAGGTATTTTTCTTTATTGTGCCCGATTGTGAAAATGTTCATCGCTAATGGTCACTAATCAGTAAACATTGTCAGTTTTAGGCATTTCCCCCTCGTTTTCGGATTATGACCATCCTATTAACAAGGATATAGCGCCACTCTTGAGTTCAAAATGGCCGGCATGGCAAAATGGTGTAGCAAAGCTTTGCTTTATTTGGCTTTCAGTATCGAAGTACATTTCTTGAAATATATCATTCCTTACTTTATTCTTCAAATGATTATAATTAGTGCTGTTAATAATGTTACATTCGTAAAATTTACTGAAATCAATATTGCATTCTGTTTTTGTTGTTTTCTCAGCAACTATGGTGTTCTTAAGTTACAATTTGAGTCATTGATGCCATCAATAGAAGGCCGTATTTGATAGTAATTACCTATGATAGCTATTTCCACCATTACCCAAAGTATAATACGTGGTACTTTAGGGTAACGTTTAAAGCAGATTTCCGCCAGGTGGAGCCCTGTGACCACGCCCAGTCTCGCGGCAAGTCGCTGCATTAGGAGACCAAGCACTGTAGAGATCATAAGTATCCATAGTAACTGAAACACAAATGCATCAAATAAACAAAAAAATACATTACAACAATAGAAAATATCAATACACACACAAATATGTTACAGGATGCACATAAAAAGTAGACATGTCTTTCATTTCAATTAAACACAGAAATATACTATGCCAAAATTTAAAAAAAACACAGAAAAACACCATTACGCACACATTTCGAAAATAAATACATTGAGTATACATTAAACCCTACCGGCATGATATACGGTTAGATAAATATAATATGCCAATATAGTGAACACAATTCATTTTCCTTAAAACTTAAATAAACATGAAAATATCCAATAACAAAGCAATGAAATAGTGTTCAATGAATTAACAAATCATAGCAGCAAAGTTTTCATAATAATATGACGTTGCCAATTGCTTAAATGTGCTTAGTTCCAAGTAGGAAAAGCTTGTAAGTGTTTCATTTATTATGTCCTGTGTATCAAATTGTGATGTGTATTAGTTTTAATTATGCGGATGAGGTTAGATTTGAACAATGACACTTGACATGGGAGAGGCCTGGATGGCCTTAAGAGAGTACAATAATATGCACTTGTAGTCATGTGACTGAGGATGACGTCATTTCACTACTCGCCGAACAGTGACTTAGAATCTGCGTAAGCTAAGGATAGTTTGGATTGCTTTGTTTGGGGTTAACGTCCAGTGACATGTTGCTAAAAAGAAAAGACTAGACAGGGAAAAATAGAAAAATATAAAAGAAAAAAACATTCTTCAAGTTCTCCACATGGATTGGGGGCAATTAATATTTTTTTCGTTTAATGTACTTTGGGCAGAAGATCCAGAAAAGAACTTCCGATTCTGCAGAGGGCCCCACTATGGTTGCCTTTTAAGTCTCTGTATACCAGCATATATATTTAAACCTATATCATGTTTTATTAACTACATGAAACAAACCTTGAATTGGGCACTGGCTCCCGCTCTCAAGTCCGACTCGACATTTCCTGGGTCCAAGTAGGCGATACTCATAAGAAAACCGGGCCCAGTAAAGGCCCATAATTTACGGAAGCTGAAGCGAGTCTTAAAGATAAAGAAACTCGTTTTATTTTCCAAATTAGAAAAACATAATATTGATAGGGAAATTTTATGATTACTGAAACACTTTATATGTAATGTTGTATCAAAATATATCTTTAAAGGACACAACGAGGGATGAGGGCATTAAACGAACTGGTATTAATCATTCAAATCAAAATTTTGACAATCCGTTATAGCATCACATACTTTCCTTATTTTGTGAATGAAGTTACTTACGCCATCTGGTGGTGGAACAGCTACCCGTTCATCAAAATAGGTTGAAGCTGTCGTGTCGTTGACGCTCTTCTTTTCTGAGTTCACCGATGTCGTCATATCCGTTAATTCTTTTGTTATCTCTGTGGACGTGGAAATACAGGAAAATAAAGTTAAGTTGAAAATAAAACTTTTTTTTAAACATTTCTATAAGATGACAAGTAGATGAGTGATAACGTACGTAAATGTAACAGCCCTTGTAATCGTGTGTAACAAGCTCTGCTGATAATTTATACGTATCGTTACAGTGACAACCAGGGAAATGTATACACATTAGGGTTGACAACGGTTAGCCGGTAAACCGGTTGCCCGGTCGGAAGACCGCAAACCGGCTACCAAAATCTATAACTGAATAGTTGCCCCATAGGGAATCCCATGCTTACCTGGCTAGACCTACATGATAGTTCAATTAGAAATAACTGGTAGTGCATCGAGCTTTATTCTAAACGAAGTGGTCCTTAAACTGATTGAGGTAACATGTATGTATTTACTACGTTTATGGGTTGAGAACTTGACATCATTTATCAAACTATCGTGTTAATTAGTATACATGTATATTAAGTGTTAATACGTTTTCAATAGAACATTTGCTAAACATAAAATGTATTTGTTGTTGTTTATTGATTGATTACCAAACTGACCGATTATCTGACACTGATACACATTAAAAGTAGGCTAAAATGCAAAGCAGAAGATGACATGATTAATACAGTAAAACCTGTATTAGGAGACCACCATTGGGAACCCTTTTAATGTAGGTAGTCTCTTAATACAGGCTCAATTCAAAATAAAATTTCGACGATTGGGAATACTGAAACACTAAACAAATTAGGTCACTTATGGTGATAGCTGCATGAGCAGGTTTGATCGTACATAAAGGATGATGGCGTTAACCTCGTCAGAAAGATAATCATGCAATTTCCCCCCTTCTTTTTGTATCTCTGTTTAATAAAATATGCAAAAACTTCTATCTTGTCATAATCAGGAATTCATTTAGTGAGACTATGTGGCACATATGTTGTAATTTGGTTAGAATGAAGTCACAAATTTTATTTTTGAGAAATGAACAATAACTTTGTACGTGTAATTGATGTTTTTGACAACACATTATATTCTATATGCATTGTAATGTTCTGTACCAGGAACTTCAATAACCGATTTTAGAAGATCAACGTAACACATACACAGGTGATTGCCCACTTAGAATTTAGAAATAGAGAAAGTATGCCAAAAATGAATGACACTGCATACTACCGCGGTTTCGTCCTTCTAGGACTCATCGGTGAAGCTAGGGGCCGAAAAGTTGGAATTCCAAATTGGTCTAAACTACTGTTGAAACAGATGGGAACGTGTAAAAAACACCTTAACTTAAGGTTTTCAACATTAAGAGGAGAACTGGTTGATAACAAATTAAACAGATACTTAAGTGTGTATATTGTGTAACGTGACGCTTCTCAAAAGAAAGAAATGTGGACATTGAGGTTCAGGTGAAGCTGCGGGACTCAAATATCCACCAACAGAGTCTACAACCTTGTATTTTGAAAGTTGAACTACACAAGCTACATAAAACGTAACTTTTCTATTAATATGTAAATATAAATAACCAATGTATAAGCAATATAGTTATTTCGTCTTATATAACACGGTAATTCTGACCAAATTTAAGCCTACCAGTTAAAGCCTTACAGGGCTTTATATTATTTGTCAGGGCGATAGATATGCCTGTTTTACTAGACCACAAGACTATTTGATTAGATACATTGCAAAAATAGCACAGCTGTATGACAATAGGATTCAATACAGATATTATCAGTGGCCTTGACTTAAATCTTAAAGTAGATAAATACAGCATATGGTCAGATATAGTTTGTTGTTTATCGTTATCACCAATTTAACTTTGTACATGTACGTTCACTAGTATGTTATATTCCTTTTGCTAGTACTACAGTCAGGCTGTAAGAAAATACTCATGATAAATCATTAACACAAAACATTTTTGAAAAAGCCTGCCTCCGAAATCGCATAGCTCCCCTTGCCCATAGCTGCCGTTTTAAGAATTTTTTCTCCAAAATTTGGTATTTGATACTATCAAGATATGCCTATTAAAATCCTATCTTTATATATATGAATGTATATCGCTTGGGGAAATTCGGTAAGTCATTCTTCATTCATATTTTTTTTTTAAATGAATCAATTACCGATTGTTACGTTTTGGAGACTATGAATTCTGTAACAGTTTCAAAAGCACTTTCTTCTTAGTATTAACAGTTTAATGTCGAATTGAATATTTATTTATAGATTATAGATAAATAGGATATTTATATATATATTTATTCAGAACTTTTGCAAACGCGAAAATGTACACTCTGTGATCAGTGTCACAACGAGAACACTTGCAGGAAGTGTTCAATTTTGTCCTTTTATTATCATTTAACCATAATTGCAAAAAATATTTGATAATAAAATATTTTACAAAATACACATGTACGATTCTCGAGGTCATTTACCAAATATGTACGATCATTGTAATAGAAAGATCGTGTAAGTAAGAGGTCGTGCATATCGTATTTGTGAGTTATGTTTTAAATATTCAAATAGCTGTAATGGCACATCAATAAAACTACGTCATACAGGACCTAGTTATAGAATATAGGTAAACAGTTTGAACAAAAGGAAAATATGACGTAACATGTAAACAAATAGGGGCAAAAATGTCAACAGACAATACAAAGGATACCCCGATTATGAAGGTATACTGAGGTGATCATTATAGGCATATTTTCAGTAGCTATACTATAGGTACACTGTATATCCGATATAGCGAAAGTTTCGCCATGGACAGGTGTAAACTTAGTCCCTCAGTTGGTGATATGTTACAAGTGATTTTGAAATATAAAGGTAGCCAATATAGACAGATAGACATATTGGGTCACTTTATTGATAACCTACTACATATATGTCTAGTATAGAAAGGTAGTCGTCATAGAAAGATAGACATATTGGATCACTATATTGATTATTATTATAAATAATCGTATGTGTTATGGTGTGTATCCAGAACCTGTGCTGCACCCAATGTAATTATACACTCTATAAAGAAGTTGTTTGCATTAATAAAATAATGTTTAATGTGGTGTCAGTTAACAGTATAACCTCGTTAAAATGACCTGGTGAACCCCTGTATTAAGACGTTTAAGACTGATAGACATGTACTAGCAGCCATCCCTAAAAAACACAGATAGGATAAAATTGATAACACTATTTATATGAATTACAACTCAACAAACATAATACAATACAACAAAAATCTTACCTGTTTTAAATATCACAACCACTCCAGTTTCATCTTATTAGTGGATAAAATAAAAGTATGAAAGTATGAAATATTATCTCCAGATATAAACAAGAGCGAAAATCATGATATCACCACATATGAAGTCACGTGCAGTTGACTGTTATTTGTAGTTAGGGTGACTTATCACAAATGTGTACACATGTAATGTGTATCAATAATTATAACCAGTGTGTGTGTATGTCTGACGCATATAAACCATTGTAGCACCTGGCTGCTTCAACCAACATATTACAATTATATAAAGTACTACCAAAAATTACCTAATAAGTGGAATAAAATAACTTCAGATAGTATTATTTTAAAACTAAGAAAGAAACAAGAATTGTTTACGTTTATACTTATATATTACTTATAAGTATCCATTATCTTCATGTAGGAGCATATATATAAATATTCACACATACTGTACGAGTACATTGGTTGCAAATTTATAGATAGTGACGTTATCAGTACTGTACTTGTATATACATGTACGTATTCAATTCCGTTTATACCGGTTTCGAGAGACGCAGGTTTAGGAAGACTATGGAAAAGTTTAATATTCATCATGATAGTCTTCTTGAGAAATGGACAATTACCTTGTGCGTGTAAAAGATCGATATGTTTTATGTCATTACTGTGTCTTGTTTCCTAGCAATTACCCCTGTCCTCGCTTCTAGAACGTGACATTTCAAGAATTCCGTGGTGGGTGTTTAAGATGGAGCAAAAGAACGCTTACCCTTCCGGAACACTTGTTCTTGTTACTTTATCATGGTTCACAATGTTAATGACCTGCGGTTGCGCTGACACTTCGATATTGTCTCTCTCTTCGATAGAACTACTTGAAGAATTTCATTTGTTTCCTTTCTTTTCAAGTTCTGTAGGCTAGTGATATACTAGTAGCTTTTGTCATTCATGATGTTTTATGACATAACATCGTCAATATTTTTTGATGTTTAGGTTAAGGACCGGGCACTTATTTGTCTCATCTCTCTTTAAAATCCCATGCGTAAGTTCAGAATGAAAAGTGTTTTGTCCCTATTGGAATACTGTCAGAAAGCAGGTCATGAGGATGAATCTCCAGCGTACATTGAAACATCTCATGTAGAAAACCCTGACTATGTAGTGAATTGGTCAACGGGACGCTTCATTAACAGGATCCTGGTACCTTTGAGGCACGGTAGTCTAGTGATACTGTAGGACACCGGGCTCGTGACCGAAGGATTGTCATGTCACGGCATTGTGTTGTTGTATCCTTGAACAAGATACTTTACTCCGCTTGTTCCAGTCTACTCAGATGTAAATAAGTACGTGGTTGGGCAGTGCTAGAATTGTTGAATGTTGGGTGTGAGCGCCGAAATGGCAGCACCGGCTATATGCTCCACAGGGAGTTGAGAATGATATTGGCTGGTTACAAAGGCCCTATAACCACGGATAATAATTTGTGAACCGCTTTGAGACGACCTCCGAGCTACGTTATAATAAAGCAGTATATAAGAAACTCGAATTATTATTATTATTACCTACAATATATCCCGGGTTTGACAATCAACTGTGCCAAGAAAACTCGTGTATATGTTACTACTGAGAAAAGGAAAGTTATAGTGGATTAAGAGTGAAAACATTGATGATAGTGTTGATGAAAATAAAAATTCAGTTGGCTTACTTTCCATTATCGGTCGAGATGACGACAGTGCCGATTTCGTCTTGATGTTTTGTCCTACAAAGTTTAAGTTACATTATATATATGTATATATTAAGTGATACACAGTATATTTATCTACCTTTCTTATTTGCAGTCAGTCCCATGTTATGTAAATGTGAACGAAATGAATCTCACTTCTTACCTCATCTGAACCAAATGACCACGAGTTGTCCAAAGTAACCCCAAAGAAGTTTACACGAATATCTACAAAATCGATTTCCAACTATTTAAAACAATCATCAGAAATACGACGTCATGAAACACCTTTTTTTAACACAATTTAAGTCAATGAAGGAAAAACAAAGTAGATTTTTACTCCATCATATGGCCATTTCGTCCATTTAGTACTTGAGTCAATATGTGTTTAGAAGCATATGTAGAGATATGTCAATGGGCCAATGGGCCTAAAAAATGTTATATTTACAATTTCTTGAGAACAAAAGATCATTGATTTCTTTTCAAAAACCCTATAAAACACAACGGAGAACTTATCACAAACCCAACACAATACAACGAAGAATTTATCAAAAACCAGAAATCCATTATAACCAGTTAAAATTATTATACAAACTCGCTATAATGAACAAACTCTTTTATAGGAAAATTAGATATTTTATTTTGCACATATATTTACATTAAGATTTGTGTAGGAGAATTCGCGGTGGGTGGTATGTACAGAATCAATAATTGTCATCGAAATTTTCAAATTAATATCTCTTCATATAAAAGCATTATGTTAGGTTTATATTTATTTCTCCTTTTACACAAGTAGGTTATGTTTAATACGTACCTCTCTAAGAAATCAATATTATCCTGTTTCAAAACAACTTATTCCAACCATAACTTAATATATGATCACAAATATGCGAATATTCTATAATCTATCACATGTGTATGGTATATATCACCTGTCCAGAATGAAGTTGACACAGGCATGGAGAAAAATTAATGAATAGTTACCTTCTAATAAAACGTCAATCAATATTAGTTTCACAAATATTACTTATTTTGTCATTCAGATTATAAAAATTATACTAATAAATTTGACTTAAACGTTTAAACTAAGCATTCTACAAATACAAATTTTTATCAGAGACCAGGAAACGTGTTTTGAGATGAGTGTTTAGGATTGTTAAGCTAACAAATTTTCAAATGTCATGAGGCTGATATCGCATCTTGAGTTCAAACGAACTTAGGGCGTTGAGTACACATGCTGATATCAAGGTGGGTTCATGTTCAGTGTGCTTATATTGCTGAGTCTAATGACCTACATGTACTGCAAAATTGGTTATTTACGTGGGCTTATATTTCGCGATTTTGACCCAAAATTACACGGATTATAATTTCGCGATCTAGACATGTGAAGGAGCTTATCTTACGCGGTGTTTAGCAAAGAGACGGGGCACTCGGCATATAAAGTGTCAAATAAATACTCTTTATTAGAGATTATTGGACAAAACAATTAATTATATTTTGCTAAATAAATCACAAACAAAACAATAGCATGTGTGTAGATGTTAATGAGTCGTTACAGCCACATGTGCACTTTTTCATGACGACATTATGGTAATGCAGTTTAAAATAGTGGCTCATTTTGACGCTTGTAATGGTATTCTCAGGATAATATTTTCGCGATCAAATTATTGAACCGCGAAATCGCGAAAATACCATTCCCGCGGAAATATCTTGCTATACGGTATAAGATACAAAGTCGTATTTTATATCTGAATTATGAGATTATTTTACGAACTGTGTATACTTTATGCTATATGCCTATAATAATAGTGTTAGTTGCGAAGTTATTTTTTTCCATAATATAATCCGACGACTAAATTGAATGCTCGCTTATCTTAGTAAAACATAATTCAAAATACATTACTGAATTTACCATTTGCACTTAGGATACAATGCATTTTGTGTATGTTTCCCCTTCAAGGAATCCCCTACCTAATGTGTAGTAAATCCGAAAGGCTATGTTTTTGGCCTCGTTATACTGCCACCATTTGTCCAGAGAACTGTTGGCATTATAAAGGGGTTCCGCGATGTAGTGAGGGAAACGTATAAAAAACATTCTTAGTGAGAAAGTGAAAAAACACTTTAAAATTTGTGGCGGTATGTGTGGTGGCAAATGAAACGAGTGACATTATATGGAGGTTGTACTGTATACATAAACGAGTGACATTATATGGAGGTTTTACTGTATATATAAACGATTGACATTATATGGAGATTGTACTGTATACATAAACGAGGGACATTATATGGAGGGTTTACTGTATATATAAACGAGTGACATTATATGAAGGTTTTACTGTATATAAAAACGAGTGACATTATATGAAGGTTTTACTGTATATATAAACGAGTGACATTATATGGAGGTTTTACTGAATTTTAATTCAGTGCTGCGGTAGCTTTTTTGTCCACTATATTAATAACATATTTAAACAGTTATCTTACAGTGCTACGTAAGTGTGATCAAATTTATCCAGAAGGTATGTCATTTTATCAAAAACCATATATGTATCGTGTAGCGGTTCACAGTTCAAGGAAGTCAAAAAAGTTGACGGGTGCCTTTTAGGGTGAATTTAGAGACCGGTTGATATACATGAATCTGGCCGAAAGCATATATCTGGTCTTTTGTCATCAAAAGATAACTATCAAAATGTTCTCATATCAAACCCTTTCATTCTGTTTCTGTTTCTGTACTCAAACCAGTACATTGCCACCTCAGTGCAGAAAGGAGGAGTACAAGATACCTCGGGATGACAAGGACTTGGTATATTCAAACCACAACGCTGGGGTTCGGCAAGTCAAATGGAAAAGAGCCAGATGATACGGAAGGAGACTGAAGAAGAGAACAGACGAGCTCGATCAGTCGAAATGGGAGGACAATGTGCATGGAACAAGTGGACTAAAAAAGAGCGGAAGCTGACGGGTGCAGACCTTTGGCAGTACGAGCCACTGCGACCTTAATTTCTTTTGAGGTCGGTTTATGATCTGTTGACATCTCCAACCAACCTACCGGATGGGGTTTAGTGGATGACCCATGATGCCAAGTCTGTGACAAGCCAGGTACCATGAAACATGATCTGTCATCGTACCAGACTTCACTGACACAGGGAGGATACAGGTGGAAGCATGATACAGTCCGTAGGGAGTAAGTCGACACACTGGAGCGTGAGAAAAGGAAACACTTAAAAGAAGAGAGCACCCACTATGATCAACTTCGTCAAGGCAGAAAAGACAAGCATGAAACCAGATTCAATCACCACTTTGATCCTAGACGAGTACGACCAGTAGGAGGGTCGACTTAGGAAAGACGTTTGTCTTCCCAGAGACTGTCCAGACCTCACGGAGGCCAGATATTGTGATATGGTCGGCTAAAGACAAGAAGCTGTTGCCCAAAGAACTCACTGTCCCATATGGGAGTCGAGGTGC